ATTGATCTATTTTAACACGGGACTGTTGGAATAGCAAACAGGAGAGCAACACAATATATCTAGATAAAGACACCTCAACACACACTTGAAAGACAATGGGTCACACTATTAGCAACAAGATTCCTGTGTCTGATCTCTGATAAGTTGCAAGCCTTGTTTTGTCAAAGCTAGGAGGCTAGAGATGAAAAGAACACTAAAAAGTCTTTCTCCGGGGGACCAGAGGAGTTACTTGTCTGCAGCTATCTAGGGAGACAGGCCAACTCAGAAAGACTTTGTGTAGGGAGTCTAAAGAAACTGGGCCTCCCCAGATCCAGGGAATGGTAACTCCTCGGGAAAAGCTAGATATGCATAGTCTGGTTTACTCTTTTGAAGATATGTTTTCTCTGAAATTTCTGCTTTAAAAAAATGGTATTAAGGAAGCTGTTTGGTCACCAGTTGCCACTGTCATTGCACCAGAGGGGAACTGAGTTGTAGGATCTAAACCTAAGTGAGGCCTGCTAAAATAATCCACGTTAGTATGGGGGACTGCAATCCAGGGCTCCGTCTGAGTGTGGGAGAATGGTGTGATTCCATCTGGAGCCAGGTGCTGATTAGAGGCCTGAGAGCTGAGCGGGGGTGCGCTCAAAGAAACCAGGAGGGGCCAGAGGTGCAGTTCAACCAGTAACTGTGACAACTCTAAGGTCCCAATTTTGCTTAAATTACCATATTCTGACCCAACGTCACTTACATTGCACACCTCTGCCTTATTGTGCAGCTGGGTGGTCGAGGAGGCACCAGAAAACACAAACAATAGGAGGTGTAGGTGAGCAGGTGAGCATGCATAATAAAGAAGTTTCCAAATACAAATTTTGAAATACACAGTATTAAAAAAAGATTTGTTTAAAGTGCCACATCCTCAACTGGTGTAATCCAGCATAGCTTCATGGGAGTCAATGGAAATATGATGATGTACAGCAGCCGAGGAACTGGTCTACAGTGTTCAACTCCTACCCTCATCTCATGAGTGTTACAAATCGAAGGACAGTATCTTGTTTCACTACTAGAAACCAACATCTTGGAACAGCTCCTTCTAATTTGGCCACAGGAAGGATTCCACATAGCCATTTGCTGGCATTGCTGCTTCTGAATTGATGGGTCATAGCGCATGGTCCCATGGCCAATGCATGTGACTGGGATTCAAGAGACCTGGGTTTTCTTCCTGCTTGGCACAGACTCATTTTGTGGTCTTGGGCAAGTCACTTTACTTCTCTGAACCTCAGTTTCCTGATCTGTAAAATGGGAATAATGATACTTACTACTTGTGTGAAGCGCTATAAACATGTTGAGTGTTGTTATTATAGACCGTGAAGATCCTGCGTTGCATCGTGGCGATGCTAAGATTCAAAGAGCATATTGTAGGCCAAATTCTGCTGTGGGATATGCTCTGCAGCCCAGAACTGGTCCTGATGGTGAACTTTGATAATTTATTAAATGTGCTGTGGTATCTGGCTGCGAGTTGGTAGACACAATAATAGAGTCACAAGCTTTTTCTGAGAATGATTTGAGATTTAGTTGTTTCTAGCAACATTTAAATACAATATGAACAGACACTTCTGAGTTAGTGGAATTACACAGGGATGAATTTGATCCTGTGCAGTAGGTCAGAGATCGAAATCTTAGCATGCCTGCCCATAAGCTTCTTTTTTAAATAACACACTCTTTTTAGATCTAAATTCTGATCTGCCAAATACTGCAGCTAATGATCTCTCCTTAACTAAGCATAGTGAAGAATGCACGTAAATACTGAAGTGTCCTAATCAATGTTCTAGTGAAAATGAACTGATCCCGTTCATTGCTGACAATGGTAACTATTTGCTGAAGTTTTTATTCTGTATTTTATATTTCTTCTGCAAATAATGTATGTAATTTAATTGGCTGGTTATTTCAAACCTTTGGGACACATTGCTGGAATGGTACAAATTCCTCAGAAATATTATTAAACTTGCCAACTGCAATCATAGTCTGAATCTCAGTTCTTCCCCGAGGACTATAAATCCTGTACGCCTTTAATTTTGCTTGAGATTTGCATCATTATGCAACAACAAAGTATGGATGCAGTAATGAGGTTTTGAAATGTTATTTACACAACAGAAAAAAAATCGACTTGAGTTTTCTGAAACTTATTCTGCAAGCCATGGAAATGGCACATTTTTGCACACCAAACTCGAGACTTTTCCAGCCAAATAAATATAATATCTATCAGCCTACAGGCTAGCCATAGACCGCCTGGATTTATACTCTGATATTTTGTATTTAGACAGAAGACACATTCTAGGATTTTACTGCTAAGACCTGTAACCCTGTCTAGTTTTGCAGCATTTGTGACTTATCGTATTTGGAGCCTGGCTAAGGAAGTATCTTTCTCCCCAAGTTTCTTAACTCTTCTTCTAACTCTACTCAGCAGAGGGAGATGCAAAACTCTAAATTCCAGTTGCCACAGAGCCTGATTCACCACTATGTTACTCCTATTATGACTCCATGAACTTCAATGAAGTTACACTGGTATAAAACTAGAGTAATGCAGTGATGAATAAGGACCTGTATTTTTCTCAGCTCAGATATTTTATCATTCTAAACTTTTAGGATTTTTACTATCTAATCCATAGCTACATTAGAAGACAATATCCAGTTTCGTACCTCCGACAGTAAAGGAGCACAAATAGCAAGATGAGTGCACTGGAGAAAAAGGCAGTGATGTTGTGAGAACATGAGGCCTAACTAAGAAATGCTCCAGTTATTGTCAAAATTGGTTTACCTAGTTGACAATCAAACTGCAGAAACACCTTGTTCCTACAGGGACATTAAATCAGTTGGAGCAGTGTTGTTTAATATATGTATTAATCATCTGGAAAGGGGAATGAGCAATGAGGTGGTAAAAGTTGCAGATGACACAAACTTACTTACATTAGAGAACTCCAGAGAGGAGTGTAAAACTTCAGAAGGACCTAACCAATCTACATGAATGGGCAACATGATGGCAAATGAAGTTCAATATCAACAAATTCAAAGTAATGCACATTGGGGAAGGAAAAATTAAGCCACTCAGATACAGTTACTTTAGAGTCCTGTAAGGTATCAACTAAGAAAAAGGATCTGGGTGCCACTCTGGACACCTCATTGAAGACCTCAACTCAGTGTGCAGCTGCAGTCAAAAAAGAAGTTATGATGAATAAGGAGTAGGATGGAGAATAAATGTGGAAAATATTATAATACCATGATATAATTCAATGGTGCAGCTTCGTCTGGAATACTGTGAGCAATACTGCTCACCCATCACAACAAAGATATGGCAGAATTAGAGGGATTTCAGAGAAAGGTGTCAAAACTGATTAGGGGCATAAAGAGAGATTGAAAAGACTGGAATTGTTTACCTTACAAAGGAGATGAGTAAGAGGTAACATGGAATAAGTATATAAATAATGAATGATATAGAGAAGGTAAATTAGAAGCTTCTATTCTCCCTGTCTGATAACACAACAACAAAACAACATTCATTAAAATTAAATGGTGGCAAATTCCAAACCAATAAAAAAGGAAATATTTTTTTACACAGCATGTAATTAATCTGTGGAACTCATGACCATAGGATGTTGTTGAGGCCAAAAACATAGCAACATTCAAAAAGTGATTGGACATAATATATTATATATAAAAACAGATTATTCTAAATTGTAGTGGTTAATATTAATATACATTCCGGAGAGATATTTAACCACATACTTCAGGGTTTAAACCAATCTCTAATAGGGATTATAAGGATACCTAGTGTGGGGAGGCAAATAATCTTACAGCTGCTTACTGCAAGGTTTCATGAAGCTTTCTCTGAAGCATTTGGTGTGGACCATTGTTAGAAACAGGATACTGAATTAGGTGAGCCTTGGTCAGATTCAACATGGCATCCTATGTTCCTATATGCAAGTTAAGAGTCACTCGGTAGAAATAATCTGACGTGTAGCAATAACACAGGGAATAACACTGAGAGAAACTCCCGAGTACTGTATGTGATAAAGCAGATGTTGCATATAGATACACACTTCTCCTTCTCTTCCTGACACTTCTATTTTTAGCTCACTATCAATTTGGATCTTTTTGTGCAAATACACTATGCCAAGCTACTAAGCGAGCTGTAGAGTTGAAAATTTTCATTCATAAAGCATTACTACAGCCTACTTCTGCATAATACTGCTGCCAGATCCCACAGGCTAGTTGGAGCATTAGATTTAATATAGAAAGCACAGGTAAAAAGTGCTTGGAAAAGCACTTGAACATCTTACATATTTAGCCCAGGAATGCTAACTATTCTGAATGCAACTAATTGCTGAGAGGAAGCGAGGTAATAAATTCTATCCTTCATATTTATCAATCACCTCTCTATCCTAGCCCACATCTATCATGGCAAAAATAAGATCAAGTGGAAAGGAATAAGATTAGAGAGATGAATGAGTCTTCAAAAGGAGAAACCCTGCCCAAGCCTGACCCACCCAAATCAGGTTGTGTGTGATAGGTATGAGTGTTACTGGATAGGAATATATTTAGCTGCTCCAAAGGTAACTCAGTCAGGAGGGGGCTTCATATCAGTCATTTAGTAACACCAATGGTTTCACAAAAGGGTACATAAAGAGGGTTCCACATGCTACAGCTCAGAATATCCCCAAAGCTGCACCTTTTCATTTGGGAGTAGAAACTGAGCACCAATGCAGAAAGCACATTTCCACGGGCACTTCTGTAGTAAAGGACCCCTGAGGGCGAGAGGGCTGTGTATGGGAAATTATACTGAAGCAGAGGCAAAGCCTAGAGCTGTGGGTTTTCTTCAGCCTGTTGGGTGACTTCTCACATATAGAGCATTGCAAATAGAGGACCTTAACTCTCCACAGCCCAAGGATAAAAGTTGTATCTTGCAGTCCACTCTCCCAGCAACCCATTGCTTGATGGTAAACATTAGAAAAGTGTTTGGGTCTTACCTTGTTAGCTTTGTTCCAATCTGCTGCCTCAGTTCAAGTCTCTCCTCATCAGTCTGCTTTGGGAGGATGTTCTTTTCCTCCAGCTCTCGTTTGGAGGGCCTGTTGCTAAGTTTGATTGCTAAAGAATCCTGTCTGCAGATTTTCATTGCCAGAGAACCTATGGAAGAAAGAAGAGGTGTTGCCAAAGGGGATGTCAGCATTATACCATATCCTACAGCAGACAAAGAAGTAACAGTCAGGAGAGGATAAGCAGAGTGAACTAAGTTAGATTCTAGTCTACACTACAGTGGCACAGTTATGCCGCTGCAGCTGTACCATTGCAGTGCTGTAGTGTAAATGCTTCTTACATTGACGGAAGGGGTTTTTCCATCGATGTAATTAAACCACCACCTCAGGAGGCGGTAGCTAAATTGACACAAATAATTATTCCACTGATCTAGCTGCATCTACAGTGGGGGTTAGATTGACCTAAGTATGTTGAACAGAGAGTGACATTTTTCAAAGCCCTGAGTGATGTACCTAGGTCGATCTAATTTTTAGGGGTCGCCTTAGATAAATTTTTTTCCAGATTTACACCAGTTTATTAGCTTCAGTGGAGTCACTTTCAATTTACCTCATTACAGGACAGAATTTGGTCCAACAGGTAAAGAGAATAAGATGCAGATGTGACAAATGTGGGGGTGTTTATTGATAATGATTAATACTGTATCTGAATCTGCCACTAGCGTGCGGTTTCTGTGCCATATAACAGAATGGATATTTCAGCCTCAGTGTCTGACTGAGTAGCAGGGCCTGTCCACCTAGAGAAAGAGGGAGAAGGACTTTTCTCATAGTCACCTGACAGCTTACACTTAAGGTTCACGAAGAGACAATGCCAGAGCATGTAGCCTTAATGAGTCAAGCCTGCTGTCCTTGGGCAGCACCTGAACCACTTTGAACAGTGAGGGTCAGAATAGGTATGTTTACACCGCAGCGGGGAGTGTCTCTCCCAGCCCAGGTAGACAGACTTGTGCTAGCATGCTAAAAATAGCAGTGTGGTGCTGTGGCACTAGTGGCGGCTCAGGCTAACTACTGATGTCCCTCTGGGTCTGAGCTTGGCTGGCCAGCCTGAGCTGTCACCCATTCTGCAACATCCACACTGCTATTCTTACCGTGCTAGCTCAAGCAGAGCTAGTGCGAGTCTGTCTGTGTAGGTTGCAGTGGCACCAGGTTGTGGGGTGGGAGGGGAGGCTGGAGGGGAATGAATCTCTCTCCAAGGATTTTTCAATTGCTCAAAGTTGCATAGGTTGTGGAGCTGCGGGGCCCATGGCCTGATCATTTTTAAGCAGTCAACCCATTCTAAATCAGTATGTCTGCTGCTGGCGCAGTCCAGAGCATCGCTCTGGCTGTGTGGTTGCAATACTACTCAAATTTGGCCCGAGAGCGGAGGGGTGGCCAGCCCAATCGGTACTGTGACTGGCACATGTGAAGTCTGTTCATATACAGCAGAGTGCAGGGGAGTCTGCCGAGAACTTGACTCTTGTCAGAACCAGCTCATGCAGTGTGAGAGAGGCAGGCTCACCAGCTGAGGGAGACTTGGGGTTCCTGCAGGAGGAGGGTGGGGATGAAGAGAGACTGAAATGGGGTCCCTTGCCAAGGGGTTGGATAGAGGGACCGGAATTTGCACCTTCCAAGAAATATCTGAATTGGTGCCACTGACAGGCTGGGAGGCATGCTTCCAACTGCAGTGTAGACACACTAACTGAGAGAACCAGATTGAGAGTCCCACAGACACAGGAGGATCAGGGCTTTGAGAGGTGGCTCTGTTCTGTTCTTGTAATTTAAGAGGAACGCCAATTTAACTTAGCTTGTAGTGAAGCATAAGATTAGATGACACTAAATATGCATGTAGGATGTTTATTATTTCAAAATCTTGTGTCTTTAATTCTTTCTTCTAAGTGCTAAATAAAAATGCTTTGTTTTAAGAAGGTTGTTGGTCAATATTGCTGGTCACATGATCCCGAAGGGAGGAAATGCAGGTGCTTGAAACCCATTCAGACCTTCAGAGTGATATACAGTTGCTGTACACAGGGTTGTGGACCCACGTTCCGGTCAACGAGTAGAAGAATTGCGAGATTTCACCTAGAGACGGCTATGGACAAGAGGCCAAATACTGGAAGGGGGTGCACTCAGAGAGCAACCAGAACGGGGGAAGAGGTATAGCTAACCCTGTAACCGTAGGTCTCAAATTTAGCTTAGAGTTGTCATATTTGGGCCTGACTCTCTGCTGCCTTGCACCATGTGGAGTGGGAGTGAAATGATACCAAATGAGATGAAAGCATTTGTACAGATGTAAATTACTCTACACTGTGCAGGGTAGTGGAGAATGAGGTCCATGTTTTTAGTAGTAATTACACTTCTTATTGTAGCTTAGGGTTTTGGAGTCTGATTGTGAACTCATTTATACTGGTGTAAACCAGGAGTAACTTCACAGAAGTCAGCAGGGTTACCCTGGTGTAAGAGCGCTGTAAGCAAGGTCATATTCAGGCCCTTGATTTTTAAATCAGTAAGGACTAAATAATTAAGAAAAATGCGAGCAGAGCACACAGAGAGCTAAATACTGCCCACCTTACTCATATAAGTACTCAATGAGTTCAGTAAGTACGTAAGCAGAATTGCCCCCCCGCTCCTCCCCCCGTGGATACTGATCCTAACAAAAAAAATGGTGTACCTGTGTTATTCTGTTCTTAGCGAACATGCTGAGCTTTCTCTATGGGTATAATCCACACTGTACAAACCAGACATGCCAGTCACTGCTGGAAGGATCTATTTTAAAAACTATCACTTGTCCATTAAACGTGGCATTTAAAATAAAGAGCACATGCCCAGCAATAATTTAGGGGCCAATTCTGACTTGGACAAAAGTTCAGGGGCCAAATATTCACACTGACTTAAATGGGAGTTTTTCCTAAACAAGGATTAAATAAAATTGAGTCAAGATCTGGCCACACTTTAGTATTGTTTCAAAACTGCTCAGTACTGGGCTCATTCTGATCCTATTGAAGTCGTTGGTAAAATTCCCATTGCCTTCTTGACTTGCCGACGACACGTTTAAAAAAAACAAACCTCTATGTAACATGTTCTGACATGACTTTGTACTTATTAAGTATAAAGCACCTGATTGTCCTCTCATAATCATCAATGTTATGCTGCTGTTACTCTGTTGTAGTCAATGGAGTTTATTCTAATTTATGCCAGTGTAAGTGACAGGAAAATCAGGCCTAAGATATCCAGTTCGCTTGCGTTTCCCTTGTGTTTTGAGGATAAATAAAAAAAATACAATAAAAGGGAAGGGAAGGATGAGTCTTACTTGTAAATAATGAGCTATCATCATCCTCATCTTCCTCATCATCCTCTTCCTCTCTTGAGTAAAGGCAGGAAGAATCTTCATAATCAGATTCATGAGGCACATTTTCTTTATCGTCATCGCATTCGATCACAACGGTTGGCACTTGTCTCATGTCTGAAAGGCCTCCAGGTCCTGTTTTCGTGACACTGTCACCCGGGTGTAAACCAGAGCTATTGGAAAAGAAGAATTAAAAAGAGAAATTAAGAAAATTAGAGAAAATTGCTCAGCAGGAGTCAGGGCTGCTTCTCTGAAGTCAGAGCACGAGTGCCTTTCTATATGCAGACATTTTTTAAAGAGGGAAGATGGAAGGATTATAGTTACCAACAAGAATGGGCTAAAACCTGGGTTAAAACATGGTCTATGATAAATCGACCCACGAGTGCTCTCTCGTCGACTCCTGTACTCCACCGCTGCGAGAGGTGCAGCAGAGTCGACGGGGGAGCGGAAGTGGTCGACTTACCGCAGTGAAGACACCACGGTGAGTAGGTCTAAGTACGTCAACTTCAGCTACGTTATTCACGTAACTTAGATTGATCCCCCCCACTAGGCATATGTTACATTAGTTAGTAAGGAATTAAAGGATAATTCCAATTTAAAAACTTGCATAACTGGAATTGAGAAAGGACCTATTATTAAGGTTGCCTGACACTTCCCATTATATGATCCTGTTTTCAGTTGCTTATAATGTTGCCACATATTAATCATTTGGACTAAACTTTCCATGCTGGGTGTCTGCCTGAGGCTGAATTTCTTGGGAAAATTTTGGTGAAATTGGTTCAGTTGTTTCTGAGAATGAGTTTAGGGAAAAACATGATGGTCGCCAGAATTTTTTAACATGAGCAAACCTTTGCATTAAAAAGCTATAAAGCCCCAATGCTTTGGAGCACATGTAGAAAAATTGGCAGGAGCTGTGGCCTGTGTGTCAGGGATGTGCCTTTTGCCATCCCTATGAAAATCCACATAAACTGGGACAAGTTATAGGGGGGAGTTTGGGACCAGCTGGACAAGGAATCTGAGACTAGGAACCAGTGTGGGGAGAACCCAAGATTCCTGAGTCTCATCATTCCTCTGCTGTCAGCAAATATCTGTGAATTCTCTGGCATAGTGCATGTCTTACCCCCCTCTAGGGCTGGTCCTCATGAAGAATGACAACCTGCTACTGCTATCAGTTACTCAGTTCCATTGGCAGAAGCCTGTGCAGTGTGTCTATAGGTTTCAATCCCACTGATGACTCGTGGGCATCAATATGATGCCACATGATGGATTTTTTGTTTTTCCAGTTTGCTTTTTAAAAAGTCTACGAAACTATACAGAAAAAATATATTAAAAAGAACATTTTTAAGGTTGCAAAGTTAAGCACTTCAGCCATTAAGAAAGGCCAGAATCAAGTTTGCATGAGAAATCTTAATCTGGCCTCTTGTGCATAGACATTATGAGACAGTTTGTAATTACATGATCACATACTATTTTTTTCACAGGACCCCTGCTTCATTCAGTGCACAGGATGGACCTGCTTTGTGGATGTGCCAGAGTTGTGTAGTAAAGAAGACTGTTGTCCCTGCGACAAATGAAGCAGAAGATGGAAGGTGTGCAGTGAATGAGGTATGGAGAGAAAGGAGGGTCTCATGGTTAAGGCAGTTGAACGCTGCCCTGGAGAACTAGATTCTATCTTGCCTCGGACAGAGATTCCTGTGTGATACTGGGCAAGTCACTTAAACTTTTCACAGGCCGATTACTAATTGTTTGTTTCTCATTTTCTGGGTCCCCAACTTGAGACCCAGGGTCTGGTTTGCAGAAGTGTTGAGCACTGACAGCTGTAAGTCAATGGGAGCTGTACTCTGAATATATCAAATGATATTTAATGCCAAATACTCTGAAAAATCAGATCCTAAGGGTCTCAAATTGGGCCCCCAAAATTAGTGGAAACTTTTGGCCTTAATTTCTGTCTCTCAGGTCCCCATCATAAAATGGGGCTAGTACCACTTCCTAATCTCACAAGGTTTTTTTTTGGACAATTCATAGATCATCAAATCTGATCTCCTCCATTACACAGGCCATAAGATTTCCATGAATTAATTTTTGATTGAATTAAGACATATTTTTAGCAAAACATCCAATCTTAGATTCACTAGTAATTTTGAAATAAACAAAAAACTGTTGCAAAGTTAATTACCCTCACTGTTAAAACTTTGCACCTTATTTCTCGTCTGAATTTATCTATGATCAACTTCCAGCCATAGGAACTTGTAATACCTTTGTCTGCTAGACTGAAGAGCCCATTATCAAAGTTTTGTTCCAAAAGTAGGTACTTACAGACCGTGATCAAGTAACCTTATCTTTGTTAAATTAAACAGATTGAGCGCCTGAAGTCCATCACTATAAGGAATGTTTTCCAATCCTTTAATCATTCTTGTGCTCCTCTCTGAACGCTTTCCAATTTATCAGCATCCTTGAACTGTGGACACCAGAACTGGACAGAGTATTCCAGTAACAGTCAACCAGTGTCAAATACAGAGGTAATATAATCTCCTTGCTCCTACTCAATATTCCTGTTTATACATCCAAGGTGTCAGGATTCTGGGCGCAGGAAGGCAGGACTAGTGGCAGGAGCTTGAGATCCCAGAACTGAAGCTAGGGTCAGAGCCAGTATCAGGGTCAGGTCAAGCTGAGAGTCAGAGCGACAGTCAGGAATCAGGCTGATGGTCAATACCACATATCAAGGTTCATTTTGAGGTTCCAGGGGGTCAAATGGAAGTCAGAATCCAAGTCAGAGCCAAGGTCAGTACCAAGTAGGGTGACCAGACAGCAAGTGTGAAAAATCAGGACAGGGAGTGGGGGATAATAGGAGCCTATATAAGAAAAAGACCCCAAAATCGGGACTGTCCCTATAAAATCGGGACATCTGGTCACCCCAGTACCAAGCATCCAGGAACAGAGGAGCAGGGTGATCATGGCAGGCAGCTAGGGATCTGCATTGTTGCCGGGACACTTCCTGGTATGCCCCCTGGGCTTCTATAGGGACAAGGAGCCAATCAGGGCTCGCTAAGACCACTGTCAGTCAGATCACTCGAGGTGAACCTTGTCATGGCATTGAACCTCTGTAGACTGAGAGTTGCAGGGAGTGGCCAGGTTACAGCTGCTGTCAAGCAGCAATGTGGGGATTCAGCTGTCTGGTAGCCCTGATGTCTTGGTTCAACTCCTGCTGATCCTTACAGAAGGATCACACTACCTCTCAACTGACTGTTTGTGAAGCACTCGATATTACAGTGATAAGCGCCATAGAAAAAACATGGGGAAATTAATAATTCTGTCTTCGGAGCAGAGTTTGAACAGGGTCAAGTAAACAACTGCTAGGGTCACACATTGAACAATGAGAAAACAAAATATTGAACAGCTATTCATTAAGTGAGCGCCCAGGGCTGGCTCCAAGCACCAGTGCAGCAAGCAGGTGCTTGGGGCAGCCAACGGAAAGGGACGGCACGTCCGGTTCTTCGGCGGCGGGTCCCTCAGTCCCTCGGAGGGAAGGACCTGCCGCCGAATTGCCGCCGAAAAATGAAGCGGCGGCAGGAGAGCTGCCGCCCTATCCTGGCTTTCCCCTCTCCCCCCCCCCCCACCCGCTTGGGGCGGCAAAAACACTGGAGCCGGCCCTGTGAGCACCCTCATCCTGTGCACTGAATGAGGCAGGGCTCTGGTGGAAAAAAATAGTATGTGGTCATGCATTTAAAAGCTCAAAGGGGAAGACTGAAGGTTGCATATACAATCTTATTTCTGAGTGCTTGACTTAACCTTAGTAATATTCTTTTAACATGGGTTTCTGTGTGTAATATATATACACATATCTCTCTCAAATTCAAGGATTGTCACTCTGAAGCCTAGGACGAAGGTGAAATATGCAAACAGCTACAAGCATGGCTGAGACCTCTTTTTGTTTAGAATATCACAAAGTTCAATCATTTCTAGGATACTCAGTCTGTTATCCAATTTTTAAGGTCTCAGCCATTTTGGCTGTACTAATCACACCTGTGCTGCATTCAGCTTCAGCAAGGCATATATCTACACCCTGCTATGAGTCCTAGAGCACTGTGATATCTAAGCCAATTACCATCCTGACTCTACAGCTAATTTGCATGTAACGCTTTCATTAGTTGTATGGAGACTGCACTGATAGTGGATTAACTGGCCAAACTGCCACACCTATGTGACAGCATGGGCTTCCAACTCTCCCCTCGCAACTTTAAATCCTTGGGAAATATAAATACAGCACAGGAATCTTTACTGAGCCAGGAGAGATTAATTAAACCATTCCAAACTTGCCAAATAACTTTGACTAACAGATGGTTTTATAATGTCTTTTGTTATTTTGGCATTTAATATCTTCTCCTCCAGGAAGAAGGTAAGTTGAAGCGAAATGTAAGTCCCGAGATTTTTTTCTTCCCCTCATTTACAACAGAACAGTACAAAAGATGAATGGGGATACATTATCTGCAGATGAGCTGTGTCTCAGATGAAATGTATGACCAAGGTTGTGCTTAATTTGTGAATGTCAGGCAAGGGGTCCTACAGGAATCAAAAAGAAATGGAAATGTGCATTATTGCTGCCTGTCTACACACTGACTTGGGAGTGCCAGTGGTCATTTTCTATTTTTAGAGAGCTCCTAAATGGGATGCACAGACAATTCATGTATCTTGGTGTAATAGCCCAAAAAGCCAGACACTGAGGAGCAATTTGCTTTTACTCTCTAAATATTCAGTCCTATTTCTGCTGCCATATAGTATCTTATTAGGTTATGAGCTCATCACTTCCCACAACCTAATAGGTTCAAACCTGGTCATTATTACTACTGTTTAGCTCTCTTCACGTGTAGATCTCAAAGCACTTTATAAGGGAATGTAAGTATCAATGCAGGTACATTTTTACGGACAGGGAAACTGAGAATGGGAGAGTTGAAGTCCAATGTCACACAGCAGGTGAAGAGGAGAGCCAGGAAAAGAACTGAGATTTCCTAACTCCCAGCCACGTGCCCTATTCACCAGACCATATTGCCTCCCTCTACTAGGATCAGAGACTGCCAGGAAAAATCCTGGGTGTTGCAGTGGTGTTGGTGATTCAGTAGTAGGTGCTCTTCTTTCCGAAACAGTAATTGTATGAAATTAGGAGGCTCTGTGCTGT